GTTCATCCTTTTCATCTTCCCTTTCAAGATACTTTGGAACAACAACGTTAAAGCATCTGTAATGCTGCTGTGAATTGTTAACAAGCGTGTTTGCACATCACATCTATCACGCTATTTGCACGATGCGATGTGAAGACGCAGCTTGAAGTATTTTTAAGATATGGCCTTTTATCTCTGGGAGCACAAGAAAGTGTTTGCAGATTGGTCGCTGGAATGAAATTAGCCTAGCACGTTGGCTAGTTCCTGTGAAGCGTGGGCATTTCTTTAAGTGGCTCTGAGTCCCTTAATCCTTTTGATCATTTGCACTGTGTATTTTTACACAGGTTCTTTTACTTTGGAGAAATAAAGTAAAGAAACTTAAAGGTGAGTTTGGCAAGGGCATCTCTGTGCTGTTTGTCAATGCAAATGGATCTTGAATTTGAATGGTGGTAGTTTCACTTAAACAACCAAGCTTCTTTAAACCTCTCCACAAATAATGTCAGTGGCAGATTATGTCTGAAAGTGTTTGTGGGTGAGTGGAAATCTTCCCTGACCCTATATTGCTGTCACAAAAGAAGAGCCTAACCCTGTGAAATGTTCTTGACAGCTTCAGCTTCAATTGCCACATAGCTGTGATTTCTCATCTGGGTGTGACATTTGCTGTCACTTGGTGGCCTCGGGTTTCTCCTGGCTCAGGGTCATAGAATGAAAACTGCTTGGCTTATGACTGGTTCTTGCCACTTCCTGGCCGTGGGATGTTGTGTGAGAAAATTTGTGGTGAGACCTTGGTTTCCATGTCTGCAAAATGGGGATCACATCTCTCTTGCAAAATTGTTGTGAGCAGTATTTGTAGAGCATGCTCATTGTAGCAGTATTCACAGTAGCTAAGAGGCAGAGGCAACCCAAGTGTCCGTTTATAGGTGAATGGATAAACTTGACACACACACACACACACACACACACACACACACACACACACACACACACACAGTGGAACACCATTCAGCCTTAAAGAGGAGGGAAGTTTGGACACATGCTACAATATGCATGAACCTTGGGGAAGTTATGCCAAGTGCAATAAGACAAATAATGTATGATTCACAAAAAGACAAAGAATGTCTGATTATGAATCCACTTCTGTGAGGTGTCCAGAGTAATCAAACTATAGAGACAGAAGGTAGAAGAACGGGGTTGGCAGGGGCTAGGTGAAGGGGAAATGGGGAGTTAGTGTTTAATGGGTCCAGAGTTTCAATTTCACAAGGTGAAAAGCTTCTGGCGATGGATGGTGGTGATGGTCACGCAGCAATGTGAATGCTCTTAATATCACTGAACTGTACACTTTAAAATGGGTAAGATGGTAAAATTTTAGTTTACGTGCATCTTATCACAATAGAATATAAATTGGAAGGAAATTGTTGTGAGCATTAAATGGCATCAAGTAGGCAAAGTGGCTGCTAAATTATTGTTCACTAAATAGTAACAGCTTTTACTGGGGCTAGGGTGTGGTATGTTAATGGCTTCATCTTTCCACTTCATCATGTGGCTTTATCATCATTTCTTTCTTTTTGTTTGACTTGTATTTCTTACAGTACTCCACCATTGTAATAGTGGTGCAGTGAATTTTCTGTGCATGTGTATATCTTTTCTATTATTTGGGTTATACCTTTGAGGTAGATCTCCTGGATCGCTTAATCAAGGTGAATGAGCATCTCTGTGGCTCTCACTGCATATGCCCATGGGGCTTCAAAGTGAATTTTAGAATTTGACCCTGTCACTAGCCAGGTAAGAGCACTATTTCACTGTGTCCTCAACAACACTAGGATGCTGTTAAGCAGTTTTACAAAATAAATAAGAGATAAGACAATGTTTTAATATGCATTTATTTACTTTTGTTTGGTCACTTAAAATGTTGGCATTTTGCATGTTGTGATTTACATTTATTTCTTCCTGTGTGAATAGCCTGTTTACATCTTTTGCTTGTATTTCTAATATGGTTTTAATGCTTTTCATGTCAAATATACTTGTTATATTTATAACATATTGTCAGCAGTTTTTTTAATTTTTGAGTTGGGGTCTCACTCTGTCGTCCAGGCTGGAGTGCAGTGGCACACTCATGGCCACCCCAGCATTGACCTGCTGGGCTCTGGTGATCCTTCCGCCTCGGTTTTCCAAGTAGCCAGAACCACAGGCATGTGCTATCATGCCCAGCTAATTTTTGATTTATTGTAGAGACGGGGGTCTCACCAAGTTGCCCAGGCTGGTCTCGAACCCGCTAGCTCAGATAATCTACGTGCCTCAGCCTCCCAAAGTGTTGGGATTACAGGCTGAGCCACCAAATCCAGCCTAGCTTTTTTAATATTCAAAGAGTTGTAATGCTTATGTAGTTGAATCTCTTATTTGAACATTTCAAACTACAAAATAATAAGATATTAAAGTAGATCAAAAGTGGTTTTACAATAATTTAATTATTATACCTACTGTATCTCTTCCTAAACTCTCCATAGTCATTCTTTTTATATCTGTTGGCTAAAATCTGCTTAGATGCTAACTTGAATGACTGTGGTATTTGAATTAAAATTATATGGACTAATAAATTAACACTAAAAGTTTAATAGAATAATCACTTAATAACTCAGTATAAAAAGGACATGGCAAAAATTAGAGAAAAGAAGAAATTGACATTGCTAGGAACCATTAAATTTATTTTTTACTTTACTAATATTAAATTCTTTCTAAATAAAACAATAGGATACTATTAATTGCTAAAGATTCCAATCATTGAAATAGTGGTTGAGGTTGGTCCTCAAATATTCTGCCAATGGGGAGAGAAAATGGGATCAACATACTGAAAAACAACTTGGAAGCAGGCGTCAATAATTTAAAAATGTTTATAAACATTGATTTAGAAATTCCACTTATATAAGTATGACTTGAGGCAGACTCAGAGATGTGGAAAAAAATTTACATTCAGAGATAAAAATGTGTTTTAGTTTAATTGCTCAATGACAGGGAATGATTGAAGAAGTAGTTGGACAACCATCTGATAGAGTGTTATATAGTAATTATAAATAGTGTTTTCTAAAAATTTCAGTGACATGGGGAAATACAATATGCTGGTAAGTGGGAAAAGTGTGCTATAATGATTACAGTGGAACAAATTGTGTGTGTGTGTGTGCGCGTGTGTGTGTGCATCTGGTATGCATCCAAAAAGTGCATAAAAATATTTTTGGTGTTTATGTGGCAGGTGTCTAGGTAAGTTTTATTTTCTTGTTTATACTCTTCACATTTTTTAAGCTTCATATTATTAAAAAATATGGTTTCTATAATCAGAAAGAAATTTAAATATTACAAAAGATTAAATTAAAGAGAAAGAATAGATTTCTTTTCTGACATTATGTTCCAAATGTTTGCCTTGCTTTCTTTCCTTTGACGTACTGGAGAGAACCCTGGACAAGAAGTCAGAAGGTATTATTTCAGGTTATGGCCCAGAAATTCACTAGCTATGTGTCCTTTGGGCCAGTCTAACTTATTTGTATCTCAGTTTTCCAGTTTGTGAAGTGGGGACTTTCACTTTCCCCACCTATACCGTGGGACAGTTGTGAAAATTAAAGTGAGATAACCAACATACGGGAAAACACTTTTGCAAACTAAGTTGCAAGTTCAAGAGTTTCCCCAAACTACCTTCATGTTTGATAATTTGCCAGAAGGACTCACTGGACACTCTTCTACTCATAATTACGATTTCTTATAGGAAAAAGATACAGCTCGAAATCAGCTAAAGAAAGAGATGCATACGGCAGAGTCTAGGAGGGTTCCAGATGCTTCTGTTCTCCTCTCTCTCATGTAATAAGGATGTGTTAACTTCCTGGCATTGATGTGTGACAATATGCAGAGAGTATTGCCAACCAGAGAAACTTACCTGAGCATCAGTGTCCAGAGATTTTATGGTTTCATTGTGTAGACATGATTGAGTGATGGCTCCCATGCTTGGACTTTAGGCCAACGGATACTGCATGATCCAAAGCCCCCACCCTCATTCACATGACTGGTCTTTGTGGCATGGGCAGCCCCCACGCTATGACTGTTGGGTGATGCTGTCTCCATCCTAAGATCCACTATCACCAACCCCTGCCTTCTACAAGATGTTTCTGTTGGACATGTTGTTGATTATCTCCCAGAAACTCCCAGAAGCCAAACTTCTCAAGACGTAATTCTTTACTACACATAAGGTGACCAAAAAGAGACAGAAAACAAATTTGAATATAGAGATGATTTTAGTATGGAGAGATTTATTATTTACCATGTCCTAAGGGCATGAATTTTATATGTACAAGTAGTACTACAAACCCCCACTTCCCCGACCCACCGAATGTTGGAGACCACCTTTGAGAATGGGCCTGCTTGCAGCAGGTCCTGCAAGAGACATCTGCTGCAGTAGTTGTGTACCACAGAGACGAATTAGGCTGAGAAAACACTTACCGCCCCGCTGGGTATTTGAACCTGACCCTTGCCTCAGTGTCAACAGCACAGCAAATACGTCCCTCCGTTAACTAATTTATCTCATGTGAATGAGTTATTAGCCTGTTTTTAGAGGTTTCTCTATCTGGCACCATCTCACGGTGGTGCAGCTGAGCTTACTACATATAGCATGGGGCGATGATAAAAATAAATTGGCTCATTCCCTTTCGCAGAGTTTCAAATCTTGAGTACTATGTCAGGTTGGATCCGTAAGGTTCCATAAGAGTGAGATTAGGAAAATGAAAACCCACGTTTGTTTTCTCATCAAGTCAAAAAAAAAAAAAAATGCGTATTAGAGCACAATGTAGAAGTTATCATTCCAGGAAGCTCGCTGGAAGAGAACTCCATGCTTTTATGGAAAAAGAGCCAGCGACAGAGACTTAGGATGAGACCGTTCGAGTCCAGGATTTCGGCTTTTGTCTGTTGATTTTTGTGAGAACAAATAACTTGCAATAAATTGATGTTGTCAGTAAATTCGGGTCGTACGTTCTGTTTCTTTCAAGAAAAAACTGGCCATGCGGAAGTCGTCCGAGTCGTGTACCAGCCAGAACACATCAGCTTTGAGGAACTGCTCAAGGTCTTCTGGGAGAATCACGACCCGACCCAAGGTAGAGTGATGAGTGAGCCAGTATTTAATTATCTTACTAATTACAGCTGGGATAATTAGTGTTTGAGCTGCATGGAAGAGATGAACCTTGAAATCACACAGGAGCTCAAGAATATGATTGCAGACATTTATTGACGGAGGAGAGGAGGGGCCGGGGAGGAAAAGGGTGAGAGAATAAAGGCGCAGTCACATTCGGCGCCGCTGCCCCCCTTTCAGCTGTCAGGGGTGGGAAAATTCCCACAGAGGAAGATGCCAGACAATAGAGATCCGTTCACCTTTGATTATTGCATTATTCCTCCTTAATGCAGTCTTTTGTCTACAAAATTAAAGTGTCTTTCCAGCAGCTTCAAAGTTTTCCTGATTTATGGTTCCTTTATTTCCCTGAGTTTAGCCTTTCTCATCTTTTGACGTTATCGGTTTGATTTGAAAAAAAAAAAAAAGGTCTGGGTGATAAAAATTTAAAAAAGAACACGAAGGTAAAGTGCAGTATTCAGTAGGTCTGCAGTGATTGGGTTATTTAAATATTTCATTTGTTTTCCTTGGAATTTGTTCCGTGGAGATATTAATATATTTGGGCTATAAACAATGGTGGCTGGAAATTTTATGTGAATGCATACACACGCAAAACATTCCATGTTGGCAAATATCATTGTAATATTCAATAATGAAGCAATTTCCAGATCTCATCCTAACAGCCTTCTAGGGCCTGCTTTGCCAGTGTGATGATCGGATATTATGAAGCTTATGAACTGAAAAGTCCTATATAATAGATGTGATTTTTCACAAACCCTGTTCATTTAGCAATCAGTCTATTTAACGAAAATATTTTCCCTTTGATGTCAGGTTTTTGTACAGTGGGTATGCGACGTTGGCTATTTCTTGATGAGTGGATGTGTTTTTTTCAAATGTGTGTTCTGCTTTGTGGTGGAATCTGGATAGTCCTGTAGCAGTGTGGGTCGGTGGGTCCTGAGTGCTGGCGGTTGCCAGGATGGTTTGCCAGAGGGCAGAGGTCAGAGCTAAAGCAAGAGTCAGAGCTAAGTTAAGAGCAGCAGAGCGACAAGCTCGAGAGAATAAGGATTCAGGCAAATCCATCCAGGCTGGTGAAAGCTGGAGATCTGGACCTAGGAAGGAGGCCGGTTGCAGGGTTTCCATGACAACAAAGACGGGTTGGACATAGGGAGGTGGGTCCCAGGTGGGGAAAGGAAGCGATATCGGGTAGAATAGGAAGAGGACTTGGGTAGGACAAGAACACTCTAATCAGAAGGTTCACGCATCACCCTGCCTTGGGCTACTGAGCTGTCCTGACCTGTGAGCCTTGGCAGCTTTGGCTCAGCAGGAAGCTCTGATGGTGAGTATTATAAAGAAGGGTGGCGAGCCAGGAGCTCATGCTGGCCCATCTTCCTTCCAGACGGAGCAGGCATTCTGCCATTTGACTGTCAAAGCTGAGGGCCAGGGCAGGATGTGAAGAGCGCCAAAACTGTCAGTAGGGCCACACATCAGGAGCCCGGGCAAGCCCAAGGTCATTGCAGGAGATAGGTGCCCCCACAGGTCATGTCTGTGACCTCTGAGCTGGCCAACTGTAAAGCCATGTCCAGAAAGAATCTCCTTAGGCTCAGCCCTGGCAAAATGTCAAAGAGGGCAAACTTCTCAATCCTTACCTGTCTTAAGTTCTTACCCATTTATTACGTCTTGATCAGTGCACTCCAGCTAATGAGATTTCTCATACTGGCCCCTGAATCTCAGAGGGATACTACCTTAAAAAGAGCCTTAAAAGAACCTACAATTCTCCTCTACTCCACATAGCAAGTTTGCCTCACCCATACCTAAGTCTTCCCCTAACCATCTCTTTGAAATTCTTGATTTACTTGAGATTACCTGTATTAATTTGCCAGGGCAGCCACAACAAAATACTACAGACTGAGGGACTTGAACAATAGAAATTTGTGTCCTTACAGCTCTGGAGGCTGGAAATCCCAGAACAAGATGTCTATGGGATTGGTTTTTTTGGAGGCCTCTCCTTGGCCTGCCATGGCTGTCTTCTCCCTGAATCTTCATGTGGTTGTCCCTCTATGCCTGTGTACGTCCAAATTTCTTCTACTTATAAGCCATCAGCCATTTTGGATTAGGGCCCACCAATATGAACTCATTTTACCTTAATTAAAAAACCTTATCAAAATACAAATACAGTCACATTCTGTGGTACTTGGGATTAGGACTTCCAGGTATAAGCTCGAGGAGGGGGGACAATTGAGCCCATAATACAGTATTCGTAAGTAATGGAAGCCGTAAGTAATGGCATCTTCTACTATTCCAGAGGTGTTTTGAGTCTAATTGGGCTCATAGACTCGTGGGCTGGAGAGATTTTAGAGGTAATCTGGTTAAATGTCACAACTAGCACCTTGGGCCTTCCATGTTAAGCCAAAAGACAATATTGCTAATGGTGGGATTTACAGACAATGGAGTTTCATTGTTGAGTGACGGATTTTTCCACTGATATTTTGGACAAATTACACGTGTAGGAGAAGAGTTTTCCTACCTTTTTATATGTTCATTACTTTTTAGCACTTGATACAGAGTACACTGTCATAAATATAAATCCCAACATATATGGTCTTCCCACATTATTATTAGAATTACTTTCTTGGATATTAATGGGCCATTGCAACATTCCTTTTTTGCCTTGCAAGGTTTCCCATGATCTTTCTGGAAATAAGTCCTGCTTCACTGGCCAAAGGAATGGGTCCATGACAGAAGCCTGGTCAACTGCAGTCTCGTGTCCTGTTGTCAACGGTGTTTGACCCTAGGATTGGGCATGTGACCCAAGCAGGACCAATTAGAGTCCTTCCCTGGGACATTTATATGAGAGAAGAAGGTGTTCTTCCTTTGCTGGGGATGCCAAGGTGGAGATGCTCTGTATGTGGAAAGAGCCTGTCTACAGGAGAACCAAGGGAAGAGGAGGAGCAGAGATACTAGAGATGAGAGGCAGGAATAGAGACCCTCCAGGAGACTGTGCGAGCCCCGAGGCCTCTCAGACTGGCAGCTCTTCCTTCACTTGTAAGAGCTCTCCTTGTAGCGCTCTCCTTTCCAAGCTATGAGACCTACTGTGTGCTCCACTCCTTTGTTTTCCTTAAGCTAGTTATTGAGCTTCTATTACTGGCAGCAATAGCAACAACAACAAAAGTCCTTACTAATCCACCGACTCAACCTAAACAATCATCATGCTCATTATATTCAGTAACTGTTAGTTAGCCATATTAATTTGGTTTTATGAATCAGGGGTCAAAAACCATATGGCTGATAACTTGATCATTGACTCAGATGTTAAGTGAAGGACACTTCGAATTTTTTTTTAAGATTTCTTGGTGGTTTGATTAGGGATTTCCTTAGTAACTTAGAATAAAGAATTGGGGTTTATTGTATTGGAGATATATGGCCCCAAAACATACCAGGTACCTCTCAATATCTCTAACTACTGTGAATGACAATCATTCATTAACAACACTTACCTTACATTTGCTGGGTGCTCTGCTAGGCCTTGTTTAATCACTAAGTGATCTGGAATACACAGAGAGGATCCAGTCTCGTAATCAATGCACAGGAAAAACATATTCCTATAGGGAGAAAATGGTTAAATTACAATGTACTGAGATCAAATGAGCATACAGATAAGTGTGCATAAGATCACAGACCAAAATATTAATGTGAAAATCATTAAAACTCATATAAGTTAACCCTGGAACATTAAAAGCAAAAAGCTTAAATTCAGACAGGCTCAGGGATCAATGGATTTAACATTCTCAGGGAGCCCTGAAGGTCCAAAACATGTAGTCACATGTACTTTTTCTGAGGTCCCTTCCTGGAGAATGGGCATGAACAGGAGAGAGCCGGGCTGTCAGTCACACACCACATCTGACTACAACTTCTTAAATCTCTACTTTTACAGTAGAAAATTACCAGAGAAAAATTACCCTGGAAGGAGCAGATGAGTACAGTGAAGACGTGTAAGGCTGAAAATGGACGCTTATTTAGAAAATGGACACTTCAAAAGACAGCAGTGGGGATTTGGTGGTGACTCTGATCTGTGCGGCAGTAGCCCACTCTAGGCTCTTTTCAGAAACAAGAGTGACTACTCACACTACTTGAGGAAGGCTCTTGCCTGCACCAGAATTGCTTATCAACAAAGAGACAAAACTTGAGTAGAAGTTGAGAAGGCATTGACCTTTGATGTGAAGATGGGCCCAGGAAACACATGATTCTCCACAGAAATATAACTCAAGAGAAATGTATTTGAATTAGTGTGTTGAAAGATTTCAGTACGCTATTCGTAAAGCCACTGAGGATTTGAAGGGGCCACCTAAATTTTTTAGTTATAATTTGCTGCATTTTGTGGGAGAAGCCATATCCTAGAATGACATTTGCAAATGTGGGTCTTCTGGCTAATGTCAAGGGTCTTAACTATAGTAGAAACAGCAAGAATTTAAGCTTAGAGCCCCCTTTCAGTTAGATCAGCTCATCATGACATAGACTGAACAGAAAATTCTGCATGATCTTCACTGCTTCAAGACACTGAAGCAGTTCTCGTGGCATCTGCCCTAATGGGCTGGACGAAGTTGCCATACATAGTCTGCCATTTTGAAGAGAGCAAAGCTGAGAAGAGAGAGATCGGGAAGTGTAGGCTTTTTAAGGCAGAGTTCCCCAGCCCCTGGGCCGTGGACTGATACCAGTCTGGGGCCTGTTAGGAGCTGGGCTGCCCAGCAGGAGGTGAGGGCAGGCTAGCGGAGTTCTGCCTTCGGTCGGATCCGTGGTGGCGTTTGACTCTCATCGGGCGCAAACCCTTCTGTGAACTGTGCATCTGAGCGATCTAGGCTGAAGGCTGAGCACTCCTCATGAGGATCTAATGCCTGACGATCCGAGGCGGTGACGCTGGTGCTGGGGAGCAGCTGCAAATACAGATTAATATCAGTTCTGAGGTTTGACTGCACATCCCCCCTCCTTGTCCGT